TTTTTTTTTTTTTTTTTTGTCCTTTTTGTCTTTTTTCGTGACCGGCAACGGGATCGCAACCCTCGGTGTCACGCCCGCACCGCTCTCAACCAGTGAGCGGACCAGTCTCTATGTGGGATCCGAACCCTCGGCGGGAGCGCCGCCACGCTCCCAAGCGCCGCACTCTACCGAGTGCGCCACCGGGCCGGCCCTTAAGAGTTCTTTATATATTCTGGATATTAATCCCTTATCAGATACATGATTTGCAAACCTTATTCACTTTATAGCTGCATTGTATCCATGATATCACAACACCCCAGTTTATTTAGCTATTTGCTTCCGGTTCCTTGTTATGACCAGCAGGCTGCAGTGAACATCTTTGTACATGCCCTCTTATGCATATAAACACGTGTTTCTCTAGGGTAGATCCTGAAAAAGTCAAATTGCTGGATTGTAGGATGTGAAAATATTAGTAGATATCACCAAATTTCCCCATAGCATTTTTAGATTAAATTGGGTTAAAGGGTACATTAAAATTTTCCTTGGAAACCTCTTTTATTATATGTTGTTCATAACTAGTTTTCTTATTAACTATACTGGACTGTCTCTTCTTATAGAGACTAATTTTGGCCAATATGTGGGAGTTGATATTAATGCATGTTTTATGCAAAACAAAAATATGATATTAGTTGCCTTTAAGGAATTCTGGCATTGTGTGTGCATTCTGTAGAAATTGTTACTGGACTTATAATTACATATTTAACTTCAATCAGGTTTCTGTAAAATTCAAATAAAACCAATTCAAAATAAAAATAAATTTTCCTTGGGAGGGAAAAGCCTAATAGAAGTTATGCCCGAGGTGTGTAGGAGGAAGAAGGAAGGTACAGTTCCTTTCCCAGCTCTGCTGCCTTTGTCCTGGAGGGTAGAGGACTGACCCCAGGGTATATATACACTGATGACAAGTCTCAGGCCTTCTCAGCACCAACTGCCAGGGCTGCTGCTTCCCCACAGCTCACCACCCAGGGTCACCAGCCATGCTCAGACAGACATGGGGGTGGGGGCAGATTGGGGTGGCATGGGTAGGGGTGGTAGTGACAGTGTTCAGAACCTCAAGTCAGAGCCTAAAGTATTTAAAGGAATCTCTCAAGTCCACTGACTGCAAATCAGAAGAAACAGACTGGCCTACTTTATCTTAGGAGTTATTGAACTTCCAGAAGCTAAACTGAGGTGACAGTCCCCTACATCTTCATCTCCCACATTCTAGCAGTACTGGTCCAGTACTGGTGACATCCTGTGGAAAGGGGGTGGTCAAGATCAGGAGTCAGCACACTGTGGCCCATGGGCCCAGTGCAGCCCACCGCCTGTTTTTGTCAGTGAAGTTTTATTGGAACACAGCTGTGTTCATTTGTTTAGGTATTGCCTGTGGCTGCTTCTGTGCCACAGCAGCAGGGTGGGTAACTGCAACAGAGAGCATATGACCTGCAAAGCTTGAGATGTTTACCATCTGACGCTTACAGAAAAAGTGCCAACCCGGGGTCTAGATGTAATTGTAATATAAATTCATAAGCCCATCAAACTTTTATTTTTGTTTATTAGGCTTGATTCTACTTACGGTTGAAAAGTAAACCACTCAGCAGATCCTTTCAGGCTGCCACATATAGCTTGATGCTTTGCTGTGATCATCAGAAACTCAAATGCAGACAAATACAAGCAGAGGCTTTCTAGCCATGGGAAAGAGTGCTATGGAGAGGATTTAAGCACTGAGTGTGGGATGGGACTAAAGGAAGGTTTAAAGGGCCCTCCTCGGGCCCTGAGAGTTGTGAGTTAAAATCATTTTACTCACAACCTTGCAACAATAAATTTATATTGATGATGATAACTTGAAGATCCAGAAATCAGTTACTTCATTTAAATGCTGTAGCCTAATGAAGAATTGCATTCATTCAACAAACATGAAGAGCCTAAAAGCATATTAAGCATTGGGTAAGGCTACAGAGAATAATGATGAAAGAGATGTAATTCCAAAGTGAATTTTAATCTTAAATTTTTATTAACTTTGATATGTTGTGCTGTGTAGGCTTTCTAGTTAGTTTTTATGCTGGCAAATTTAATAATTGTCTTACCTTTTTTGTTTCCAGCTTTGTCCTGCCAAGAAGTTACTGATGATGAGGTCTTAGATGCAAGCTGCTTGTTGGATGTGTTAAGAATGTACAGATGGCAGATCTCTTCATTTGAAGAACAGGTGAGCACAGCATTACAACAGTACTGTAGCTTGGAGAATCCTTTCCCCTAGTGACTGGTGCCTGACCTTGCAGTTGCCTGGTTTGAGTGTACATTTCTGCAACATTTTAGACAATCTTAGTGTTCTGCGACCAGAACACCAAATTTGTTCCTGCTGTCATGGTCAGAGGGGAAATATAGCTATTTTTCACCCAGTGGATGAAGGTTAGCAGGGTAGGGCATAAATAACCCAGTTGCCAGAGAGCAAAAATCTTTTTAGTTCTTGAGTGGCTTTGTACTTAAGTGATTGATAGGACACCTGGGTCTTTTAGATAGAGGCAGGTGGCTTCACCCTGGAGGTTCATAAGTTCAGGTGTGATCTTTTTTAGGACCACACCCTGATTTTTTAAAAAAATCAATCTTCAGAGAATGGCTTAAAGTAGCCCCAAACCTCAAGCAGATGTTAATATGCAACCCGCAGGCCTATTCCGGCCACTCTCACATCCCTTTTACAGCTTCAGTGCCTTCTTTGGAACTGACCACCCTCTTCCTCCCCAGACCATTATTACCAACAGCAAGTCTGAGGCAGAGGCCAAGAGATTGAAGCTTTAGGGATGAAAAAATTTAGCTTCCAGTGGCATACTGGTTCATCCTCCCCAGCCACATTTTCAAGATGGCCTGGTCCAGCTGTGTATAGGCTTCTGCTGCTGCACTGTCTAGACACTAGACCAGAGACATAGGAGGCAGCCTATTGGACTTCCCAGAACTGTGGGGCTGAAGTGAGAGGCATTTAAAACTTTGAAAAGGGAGGTGGGAAGATTTTCTATCTCTTCTTTTTTTTTTTTTTTTTCCTTTTTGTCTTTTTTCGTGACCGGCAACGGATTGCAACCCTCAGTGTTGTGCCCGTACTGGACCGGGACTGGCCACGGGATCGCAACCCTCGGTGTTGCTCCCGCCCCTCGCTCAGCCAGTGAGCGGCCGGTCTGTATGTGGGATCCGAACCCTCGGGCGGGAGCGCCACCGCGCTTCCCAAGCGGCGCACTACAGCAGTGCGCCACCGGCCGGCCTTTCTATCTCTTCTTATTTTTAAAGATCATCTCTTGTTTCTGCTTTAATCTGAAGCCATGTGTTACTTTTTAAACATGATGTTGGTGATCTCTGTGCTTTCTTAAGTGCATCTTGATTAATCCCATCATCCGTAGAAATGCTTTTACATTTAGAAAATACTTTTTTAACCCTCCTCTGGTAACTGGAATTTTTTAGCTGCATTTTACATTTCTCTCAACTGAGAGTATGACTTTGAGATTTAGTCCCCAAGGACTTGAGATAACTTTCTAAGTCCTGCCCCTCTAAGTCGTAGTCATTCCTTGGAAGTATTTCCAGCATCTTCAGCCCACAGCAGTCACTGAGCCACCTAGTGCTATAGTTGGCAGGAAGAAGAGAGGACCATGTGTGTTTGTTGGTCTCTTCCTCTTTGAAGGCATCCAGAACATCGAGCCTTGTCCACATGTTCACTATTAATGATCTAGCCAATCAATAGCAGACTTTCTCTGACTATGAACCCATTTTTGGTGGCTAAAGCTAGAGCTACAGGGGATGCATTGGGTTAAGTGCTTGCTTTATGTGAATTAGTCTGATTTAATCATCACAACAACCCTGTAAAGAGGTACTGTTACTGTCCCCATTTTACAGATGGGAACACTGAGGCTCAGAGAAGTGAAGAGATTTGCCTAAAGTGACAAAACTATTTAAGTGGCAGAGCCAGGATTTGAGATGGTCTGGTGCTAAAGCACACACTCTCAAGTTCCACTCTCTTTTGCAATACTGTCTCTTTCCTCAAGACCACTTAGTTACATGGCTGACTGATGGAAAGGTTGTGGATCCGACCCTATCCTGTCTCGAGATTGCTTCAAGGGTGGGCCCAGATGTCTGAAGGCTCCTTGACTCTCCCAGGAAGAGGTGATTTTCCACCAGGCTTCAGGAGCTCATTGCTTGGAACAGGGCTGTAGCTGTGCTTGTGCTCTTAGCTAATGGCCTGGCTGCCACATCTACCACTGGACTGTGAGTCCCTCGAGGGCAAGAGCCTTGCCTTATTTACCTTTGAATCTCCATCACTCTCTTGCTAACAGCAGTTTATAGCCCAGCAGGGGATTCATTTATATATGCAACAAATATTGAATGCCTGCCTGGACAGTGCCTATTGAGGGCAGTGAGGTTGTAGCAGCAAACATGACTTGCAGGGTTTCTTGCTTTCATGGGGCTTGAATTCTTGTGGGGGTTGGGGGAGTGCAGACAGTAAAGATGTAATTTCAAGATGTGCTAACAAGAAAATAAATGGGATGATGTGACAAAGCATGGGGGTTGGTGCTGCGGATGAGGGGGAAAGCGACAGGGAGACTGCTTTAGACAGGGAAGGCTCTTCTGGAGAGGTGAGGTTTCAGCTGAGACCTGAAGGGCTGAAGTCTGGAGACAGCTGCAAAGCTGCAGCGTTTGGAAAACGGCAGGGAGGCCAGGGTGGCTGGGCTGGGGCGGGGAGTCAGCAGAGGAGAGGGAATGGTGGAGTTTGGCAGGGAGCAGATTGTTCAGGGTCTAGGAGGCTGTGGGTGGGGGTCAGGCTTTTATTCTGTGTGCAGTGGAGAGCCACTAGAGGGCCTTGAATGGGGGACTGGTTTGATCTGACTTATTTGAAAAGCAAAGAGTATAGGGGCAATAATGGAAGGTGAGAAGAAAGAAAGGTAGGTGGCTGTTGCAGTTCTCTAGGCCCCAGATGGTGTGGCTGGCTGGGCTTGCAGCAGGGAGCTGCAGAGTCCTCAGGGATGCAGAATGTAGTTTGGATGTAGAGCCTACAGGATTGCTACTGATTTGGCTGGGGGTGGGCTGGGGTTGAGGGGTGTGGAGGCAACTTTGGATAGTTGGTCAGGTAAGGTATCCCCAATGAGGAGCTATTTCATCAGAGCCTGAAGGATGAGAAGGCAGCCACATGAAGATGTGGTCATGGCCTAAGATGGGATAAGCTTGGTGTGTCAAGGAACACAGGGGCTGCAGTATAGTGAATGAGGGAGAGAGTTCTAGGAGGAATGTTGGACCCTTGGACAAGGGCTTCGTAGGCCAGGTAAGAAGGGTAGATTTTACTCCAGTAGTGAAAGCCGCTGGAAGGCTGAAAGCACAAGAATACAGTCATCTGCCTTTTAAAAGATCACTGTGGTGACTGTAGGGAGGCCAAGAGTAGAAGTTGAGGGCCCAGGGAGGATCAGCACCATGAGAGCTCAGGGGAGGAGAGACCCTGTCCCTCCCCAAGGAGTGAGGGGTGGCTTTGGCTTTTTGGGAAAAGGCCATTTGAGTTGATTCTTAAAGAGTAGTCCTCTGCCATATGATCCAGCAATTCCACTTTTGGGCACATGCCAAAAGAATTGAAAGCAGAGACTCAAACAGATATTTGCACATTCATGTACACAGCAGTATTATTTGCAATAGCCAAAAGGAAGAAGCAACCCAAGCATCCATTGATGATGAAGAGATTAACAGAATTTTTATGCAGTGGAATATTATTCAGCCTTAAAAAGGAGGGAAATTTTGCAATGTTCTATAACATGGATGAAACTTGAGGACATCATGCTAAGTGAAATAAGCCAGTTGCAAAAGGACAAATACTCATTCACAGTACCTAGAGTCATCAAATTCCTAGAGACAGAAATCAGAGTGGTGGTGGTTGCGGGGGCTGGGGGGGGGTTACAATGTGAATGTACTTAATGCCACAGACTGCACAGATTAAAATGGTTAAGGTGGTAAATTTTGTGTGTATTTTACCACAATTAAGAAAACCCCAAAACCTTTGGAATCAGGTGGAGTGGAGGTGAGGGTCATCTCAGTAGAGCTAAAACAGGCTCCAAGGCAGCTGGCATGAAAGCAGCCACTCAGCTTTCTCTCTTCTCTCTCCTCTCAGGCCTCTCAGTTGAGGGTCTTTACTTGGGGTAATGTCTAGGATATACCTGCTTTCATTTAGTGAGCTGGGCCTTGAGAAGGTGGAAAGCAAATTCTGCCCACATTCACTATAGGGGTCTGCCTAATGGTCCACACAGGGAGTGGCTCTGACACTGCCCTTGCGCCATTGGGCCTCTCTGAAGGATGCTGTGCCCTTTGACAGGATGCTCATGAATTATTCCACGTCATTACCTCGTCACTGGAAGATGAGCGAGACCGGCAGCCACGGGTCACACATTTGTTTGATGTGCATTCCCTGGAGGTAAGCCATTTATATTTTCAATACATTTAATGCATTTTGTGCATATTTAATAAGTATAGGAAACACAAGTATAGTCTTTGTACAACCTCCAACTCAAATGTAAGATTCAATAAAATCTGTAGTGGGAATGAGGCTGGGGGAGGGTCTTAAACTACATACTTTGCAGTTGGTGACTTTGGTTAGGGATGTCAGGGCTCTTTTAAAAGGATTCATTGCTGCAATTTGTGTTTGCTTTGAGAAGAAAGGATGTATTATTTTTCTCTATTTAACAGAGGGTAACAAGGGGCCATAGAAGTGCTAAATGAGTCCTCATTTCCCTGTAACAGTATAAATATTTAAGGAGTTGATAAAAGTTAACCAGTAAAGGGGAAAACATTCCAGAGAGAGGAAATATGTTTCAATTGCATTTGAGGAAGGACTATGAACAGTAACCAACCAGAGAGGATAATTAAGGCTACTTTTAGAAATGTGGGCTTTGTTAAAAGTTGATGTTTGGTGATACAGTCAGCATAGAAACTTGTAAGATTTAGGGGAGGGGTGAGAGTGATAAAAGGAGTTGCAGTAGGGTTTTTAGTCTGTTTCTTTTTTTTCCCCCTACAGCAGCAGTCAGAAATAACTCCCAAACAAATAACCTGCCGCACAAGAGGTATTTTCTATTGAAATATAACACATAACATGTGTACATTTAAGATATGACGATAATTAGCTTGTTTTAAAAAAAGATTTTTTTTCTGGTGACATTCAATCCAGCTTGAACTGTGATGTGATGTACAGCTGGCCTCTGTATCTGTGGGTTCCACATCTGTGTATTCAACCAACGGCAGATGGAAAGTATTCAGAAAAAAATCATTGCATCTGTACTGAACATGTACTTTCCTAAACATTACAGCATAACAGCTATTTGCATAGCATTTACATTGTATCAGATATTATAAGTAATCTAGAGATGATTTAAAGTCTATGGGAGGATGTGCATAGGTTATATGCAAATGTTAGGGACTTGAGCACCCACAGATTTTGGTATCCGTGGGAGGTCCTAGAACCAATCCCCAAGGATACCAGGGGATGACTGTACTTGCAAAGGAACTTGTGTTTTGGAAACAGCTTTAAATGATTCTCTTGATGTTCCCTCATACCCCAGCCCTGCTTGGTTTCCTCTATACAGACCTATTTGTGCTACAAACAAGGGCTTTCTTTTTACTTTGTTGAGTTGACCCTGGGAAGAACTTAATAAGCTGAATCTGTCATGTCCTCAACAGTTCCACTTTTACCAACTTTTAGTGCAAATTGTCACAGTCCTCCTTAGGAGGAAATCATTTTTCCCTAAGACTTAAACTTAGAAAATAACATTGACATACCTATCCCTTTGTGCATTAGTGGTAATAGGAAAGACTATTTTTTGAGCTGATACTGTGTGCCAGTTGTTGTGCAATATCTTGTTTAAGCCTCACAACATCTCTGTGAAGTTGATAATACTGGGAGTAGTGGGGTAATAAATAATAATCACCCCCATTTCCAGCAAACTGAGGCTCACAGAGATGAAGTGACTTCCCAGGTCTTGGAGCTAACAAGAAGTAGAGCCAGGACCAATCCCAGGGCTGCCCAACTCCAGAGCCCATGTTTCTCACTAGTTTATTGCACTAACCCCATCCTAGCCAAAGAAAACTCCAGTTCTTTAGAACTTGCTTATTCTGATTATTTCAGTTTATCTCACTTTATGTAATGTTCACTTGTGGTATCTTTTGACATCTCAAACACTTTAAGCATATGTTTATAAAGAGATGTTATTAAACACAAATTCCTTTTTAAAATGTGACTGTATTCATTATACAGAAACTACATGTAAAGACCTGTATAAATTATCCTGCGAAGGAATAGAAAGTCTTTTTTTTTTTTTTAAAAAAAGATGACCAGTAAGGGGATCTTAACCCTTGACTTGGTGTTGTCAGCACCACGCTTTCCCAAGTGAGCTAACCGGCCATCCCTATATAGGGATCCGAACCCGTGGCTTTGGTGTTATTAGCCCCGCACTCTCCCAAGTTAGCCACGGGCTGGCCCTGGAATAGAAAGTCTTTTTTTTTTTTTAAAAAGATGACCAGTAAGGGGATCTTAACCCTTGACTTGGTGTTGTCAGCACCACGCTTTCCCAAGTGAGCTAACCGGCCATCCCTATATAGGGATCCGAACCCGTGGCTTTGGTGTTATTAGCACCGCACTCTCCCAAGTTAGCCACGGGCTGGCCCTGGAATAGAAAGTCTTTTGATGGAAGTCAGTGAGGAAAGCTCTTTCAGTGTACTTTTCAAAAACCTTTTTTCTAAAGAGGGAGTTTCTACCACATACTAAAGAAGGAAGGTGAATTTTGAGGTTGTCGCCAAAGGGCTAAGAGTGGCATGTCAAAAGATGTTTTGCATTCCAGGGTTACCTCACCCCACGTCCAATCACTGGAAGTCTCAACATCCTTTTCATGGAAGGCTCACTAGTAATATGGTCTGCAAACACTGTGAACACCAGGTAAATACAGTACAAATACTTGATATATTCCTTGTTGAGGTTTTCTTTTGAGTTAGGATTCATGACAGGACCGATAGAGGCTGACATCAGCAAGCGGCATTTGTGCTGGCTTGGTCTCTGCACACTTGGTGGACTAACTGCTCCACTTTGGTCAGTACCAACAAGGCATTTGATCCTCAGGTAACATCCTCTGCACCAAGAGCAGGAGACCTGTTGTGGATTGGCAGGATTTTGATTCCTGAGGTTGTGTCTATGCTCACAGTTGACACAACAGATTCCAGGGCTGGTCTTCTTTTTTTTTCTCTGCTTTTGAACTTATAATTTTTTATTATGGAAAATATCCAACATAATATGAAAATAGAGAATCATGCAGCTGTCACCTCAGTCAGTTTTGGAACATTTTCATCAGCCCCCCCAAAATCTCTATATCCATTAGCAGTCTCCCCCTTCTCTCCATCCCCCAGCCCATGGAAACCACTAATCTACCTTCTGTCTCTATGGATTTGCCTATTCTGGACATTTCATATAAATGAAATCATACCATATGTGGCCTTTTGTGTCTGGCTTCTTTCACTTAGCATATTTTCAGGGTTCTTGCATGTTGTAGCATGTATCAATACTTAACTCCTGTTTATTACCAAATAATAATGCATTGCATGGCTATACCTCATTTTGTTTATCCATTCATCAGTTGATGGGCATTTGGGTGATTTCCACTTTTTGGCTATGAATAATGTTGCTGTGTATATACGAGTTTTTGTGCAGACTTATGTTTTCTTTTCAATTGTGTATATACCTAGGAGTAGAATTTCCAGCTCATATGGTAACTCCGTTTAACCTTTTGAGGAACTGCCAGGCTGTTTTCCAAAGTGGTTGTACCATTTTACATTTGCACCACCAGTGTATGAGGGTTCCAATTTCTCCACAGACTCATCAGCACTTGGTTATTATCTGACTTTTGATTCTAGCCATCCTAGTGGTTGTGAGGTGGTATCTCATTGTGGGTTTCTTCCCACCAGCTTTATTGAGGTATAATTGACACATAAAAATTGTATATATTTAAGGTGTACAATGTTAGTAATGATTTTAGATAACTATGTATTGTGAAATGATCACCACAATCAAGCTAATTAACACACCTATTACCTTACATAGTTACCATTTTTGTATGTGTGTGAGAACACTTAAAATTTCTTTTAGCAAATTTTGAGTATCCAATATAGTATTATTAACTGTACTCACCATGCTGTACAGTAGATCCCCAGAACTTATTCATCTTGTAACTGAAGGTTTGTATCTTTGACCAACATCTGCCTATTTTCCCCACCCATTCCCCAGCCCCTGGCAACCACCATTTTATGTTCTGCTTCTGTGAGTTCAACTTTCCTAGATTCCATATATGAGTGAGATCATATGGCATTTATCTTTCTGTGTCTGGCTTATTTCCCTTAGCATTTAATGTCCTCTAGGTTCATCCACGTTGTCACAAATGGCAGGATTTCCTTCTTTTTTAAGGCTAAAGAATATTCCACTATTTATGTATACCACATTTTCTTTATCCATTCATCCATTGGCAGACACTCAGGTTGTTTACATATCTTGGCTATTGCGAATAATGCTGCAGTGCACATGGGAGTACAGATATCTCTTTGAGATCCTGATTTCATTTCCTTTGGGTATATATCCAGAAATGGGATTGCTGGAACATACAGTAGTTCTATTTTTAATTTTTGGAAAAACCTCCATAATATTTTTCTTAATGGTTGTACTAAAATTCCCATGAACAGTGTACTAGGGTTCCCTTTTTTCTGCGTCCTTGCAATACTTGCTACCTCTTATCTTTTTGATAACAGCCATCCTAACAAGTATGAGGTGATATATTACTGTGGTTTTGATTTGTATTTCCTTGATGATTAGTGATATTGAGCACTTTTTCATATACCTGTTGGCCATTTGTATGTCTTCTTTGAAAAAATGTCTTTTCAAGTCCTTTACACATTTTTTAATTATGTTGTTTTTTTTGCTGTGTACTTGAATGAGTTTCTTACATATTTTGGATATCAACCCCTTATCGGATATATGGTTTGCAAATATTTTCTCTCATTCTGAAAGTCACCTTTTTAAATTTGTTGATTGTGGGCCGAGCCCGTGGCGCACTCGCGAGAGTGCGGCGCTGAAAGCGCAGCAGCGCTCCCGCCGCGGGTTCGGATCCTATATAGGGATGGCCGGTGCGCTCAATAGGGATGGCCAGTGCGCTCACTGGCTGAGCGCGGTGCGGCTGGTCTCAAAAAGGACAATAAATAAATAAATAAATAAATAAATAAATAAATTTGTTGATTGTTTCCTTAGCAGTATCATTGTGGTTTTGATTGGCATTACCCTGATGTGTTGACTGTTTTCTTTTAAAACAGTCAATAATAATTCCTTTATATGTCTTACAAATCTTTTAATCTGTAAGTTGCTCATTCATTCTTGTTTTTTCTTTGCATTTTATTTATGTTTTGATGCTATTGTAAGTGGAATTTAAATTTTTTAATATACCAGCTGTTTGCCATTAGGATATAGGAATACAGTGGCTTGTATTTTGACCTTATATATTGAAATCTTTAAAAAATTCATTTATTAGTTCTAGTAGTTTTGTTGTAGATTCCTTAGAATTCTCTTTGTATGTAAACAGTCATGTTGTCTGTGAATGGAAATAGTTTTAGTTTTTTCTTTCCAGTCTTTATGCCTATTATTATTATTTTTTCTTTGCCTTAATATCCTGGTTATGACCTCTGATACAGTTGAATAAGAATGGTGTTATCAGACATCCTTTCCTTGTCTCAAATATTAAGAAGCAAGTATTTGGTATTTCATAATTAAGTATGATATTAGCTTTGGGTTTTAGTATATCCTTTTATCATACTGAGAAAGTTCCCATCTTTTCCTAATTTGCTGAGAGTTTTTATAATGAATAGTGATTGAATTTTGTAATGCTTTTTCTGCATCTGTTGAGATGATCATATTTTATTCTTTTATTCTGTTAATGTGGTAAATTACAGTGATAGATTTTTCTAATGTTAAACCAACCTTGCATTTCTGGGATAAACCCCATTTGATTGTGATACATTGTTGTTTTTATATATTACTGGATTTAATTTGCTTATATTTTCTAGAGGATATTACTGTCTATGTTTATGAGGAATATTAGTCTTACAGTTTTCTTCTCTTATAATGTATTTGTCAGGTTTTGTTATAAGGATTATGCAAGCCTAATAAAATAAGCGGGGAAGCGTTTCCTCCTCTGTTTCCTGAAAGAATTTGTTTAATGTTGGTATTATGGCATCCTTCAATGTTTGCTATAATTTGTCTGTTTCTTTCTTCAGTTCTGCCTATTTTTGCTGAATTTCTTTTTAAACTTGCTATCAGACAAAAAGACATCTATTATCATGAGTTGACTCTCATGGTCATGATAAAATGTCCCTCTTCATCTCTGATAAGACTCCTTGACTTGAAGTCTATTCATGTAACTAGTATTTCTTTGGTATATTTCTTTCTGTTCTCTTATTTTCTACCTATCTTTGTCTTTGTGTTTAAAGTGTGGCTTTTGTAGACAGCGTATAATTGGGTCTTGCTTTTTTATCCAGCTTGACAATCCACCTTTTAATTGGAGTCTTTAGTCCATTTACATTTAATGTAAGTATTAATATGATTAGATTTAGGTCTGCCATTTTACCATTTGTTTTCTGTTTGTCTCACATGTTTTTTGTTCCTCTGTTCCTCCTTTCCTGACTTCTTTTGGATTAATTGAATACTTTTTAGTATTTTGCTGTAATTCCTTTGTTGGCTTTTAGGCTGTACATTTTTACTTTTCTTGTGTTCATGTGATTATATTCATGCAATTTTATCTTATCACAGTCTATTTAGAGTTAATATTGTACTCCTTCATGTAAAATACTGGAATGCTACAAAAGCATAGTTCTATTACCCTGTCCTTTGTGCTGTTATGTATATTACATCTACATACATTATAAACCCCACAATACTGTGTAACAATTTTTGCTTTAAACAGTTATGTGTGTTTTAAAGATATTGGAAAAAAAAATTTTATATTTACCATTTTTGGTGTTCTTCAACCTTTCCTGTAGATCTAAGGCCACTTGATGTTTTTTCCTGTCAGCCTAAAATGATCCTTTTAACATTTCTTGTAGGTCTGTTGGTGGCAGATACACTTAGATTTCATTTATATAAAATGTTTTTGTTTTGCCTTCATTTTTGAAGAATAGTTTTGCTGAATATAGAATTTTAGGTTGACAGTGTAGCTGTTGTTTTGCTTTGGTTTATTTAAAATTCATCACTTAAAGACATTGTTCTGTTGTCTTCTGGCCTCCATTTTTTCAAAGTCAATGTATTCATATTCTTCTTCTGTATGTAAAGTAACATTTTTTCCCTCTGCTTACAAGATTTTCTCTTTATTTTTATACATGCTGTGCATAGATATGGTTTTCTTAGTATTTATCTTGCTTGGGGTTTGCTGAGTTTCTTGAATCTATACATTTATGTTTTTCACCCAATTTGGAATTTTTGGCCATTAGTTTTTCAAAAAAGATTTTATGCTCATTCTCCACTTGTTAGTCCACTTAATGTTGTCCCACAGGTCTCTGAGGCCTTGTTCATTTTTCTTCAACCTCTTTTCTCTGTTCTTCAAGTTAGATAATTTCTGTTGACCTATCTTCAACTTTACGGACTCTTTTTCTTCTGTTTGACTGTCTGGTGAATTTTTCACTTTAATTATTGTTCTTTTTCATTGTAGAATTTCCATTTCCTTTTTAATAGCTGAGATTCTCCATTTGTCCATTCACTATAATTATATATTTTCCTTTACATTTTCAAGCATATTTATAATACATCTGTGAGGTCCCTGTGTGCTAATTTCAATCTGTAGGTCATCTCTTTTTCATTTCGCCATGGGTCACATTTTCCTCTTTCCTTGTAATTTTTTATTGCATACTTAACATTGTAGTAGAGACTTCAGATTTTGTTATGTTTCTCTGAAGAAAAATGAATTTTGTTCTGGCAGGCAGTTAAATTAAATTGACTGGGCTCCAGACTCCAAACTCTGTCTCTCCTACATTGAGTAGCAAAATCTTTGTTCATTGTTTTTAGCTTCCAGCTGCTATTATTTTTGCCAGGCCCTATAGAGTATCCCCTGTGCATGTGTGGTTCATTGGTCAGCCTGGAATTGGGCAGAGTTTTTACATAAATATTGGGGCTCATCTTCTCTGTTGTTCCCTTCTTTCTGGGATTTCCCCTAGCTTCTTTATCAGGCCTTAACTCTGTCTTCTGACAACTCGGTCCTGTAAGACTGCTTTTTCCCACCCAGCACTGTATAGACTGGGCAAAAAAGCCACGAACATGCAAATCTCACCCATGAAGTTCCTGTTTTTCCCAAGAGTAAATTTCTTTTCAATATTTGCCTGCTTTTGGTAGCTCTCCAGTCATTCAAATGATTTTGTTTTGTTTTGCTCCAGGTTTTATAATTGTTATCTCAAGGAGGGTTAGTCTAGCCAAGCTATTCTGCCATTACCAAAAGCAGGAACTCTTACCCTGTTTTATCATCTGCTTTTTTGCAATTAATAATATAACATGAACATATACATTTTTACCATCATACATTCTTCTGTTACATTATTTTAAATATAGTATTCCATTCTGTGGACGTGCTGTAATTTATTTAATCATTCCCTAGACATTTCAACTATTCACATTTTTGCTGTTATGAATAATGCTGTGATACATATCCTTGTTGTTATGTACATAGTTATTTCCTCAGGATAATATCCCAAAATTAGGCTGGCCAGTTAGCTCAGTTGGTTAGAGCATAGTGTTATAACACTGAGGTCAAGGGTTTGGATCCCTGTACCAGCCAGCTATTAAAAAAAAAAAAAAAAAAAAATCCCAAAATTAAAATGTAAAAAATCCCAAAATGTAATCTTGTAGTTTTTTTTTTTTAACCTATTCTTTAGTATTATTGTGCTTCTTATGTTTACAAGGTTGTTTTTAATAGAATTTGCCTCTAAGTAAGTACATTATGTTTTATTACGTTAATGTTGGGCATCTAAATTTTAAGCTGTTATCTAGGCATATATCTTCCTATCTTTTGAGCTTTGAATAGAACCTAAGTCCTTTCTGGATTTTCTGCAATATTTGTTTCAGAGTCCTGTTCGATTTGATACCTTTGATAGCCTTTCACTAAGTATTCCAGCTGCCACATGGGTATGTACCGATCTATGGTTTATTTGGGGTCTATTTTGGAGACATTCCAATTGGAAAGGGTTTTGAGGCACTTTATGTGATTCAGGCACTGTGTGTTATTCAGATATTGGTTGGTTGAACCCCATGTTAACTTTAATGTGTGGTACCATGGCCTGATTATAGGGGAGAGGAAAGTGGATGTACTTTCTCTTGCTGCAGAAATTTTGGCTTTTTAAACACACACATACATTAATCTCAAATTCAAAGTATCTAAAATAGAGTGGAAGTCCATAATTTTCTGCAATGTAACATTCTCTTGAATCTGTCAGTAAGGACAGTGTAGGGTGCTTTGAGCTCCACATTTGTTCGGGAAACATCCAGTTGTGTCTGTGAAGCTTTATTGCCTGCGTACACCAAAACAAAGCTGTGGGATTCACACTGCTAATTGTTAATTGCTAACTGTTTCAGTATAGCTTTCCTTTGAATTGTAATAATTTTTCTTCTTCTCATGCTATAGGGTCATCCATTGACCCTGGACCACTGCCTTCACCACTTCATCTCATCAGAATCAGTGCGGGATGTTGTCTGTGACAACTGTACAAAGGTATGCATTTAACTCTACTGTCATCTCCCAGCTGGCCTGTGTGTGCTCAGATGACACCCCTCACACAATGGCTCCTGAGCTCTTCAGACTATACCCAGTGGGTCTTTTCAGCTGCTGCCATCTCTACCTAACTTGGTTTGGAAACCAGCAGCCCGTGGACCAAATATCTTTCTCAGATGAGTTTTGTATCATCCACAGAGTGTTTAATGAAAAAATCTGAATGTCATGCTTTGAGATAGGATATGCCCTCTTTAATTTGCTACAGTTCCCTCCATTCCCACTGTCTTTCACCCTGCCTTTTTAACTGTGCTACCTGTCTGACTCCGCTAAGTAATTACATTTCACCCTCTGAATCAAGAGGAACTAGGTGGAATTTTTAAAGACAGAGAACAAAATAGATTACATGCCAGTGTCAAAGTTTCAGTATTGATTCTTCATTTTCTCTCCCCTCCACTGTTACTGTTATTTAATGATTAAGAGGGATCAGTGAAAACAATTCACCATTAATTGGGCAGCTGAGTTCATTTCAGTCAAGTGCCAATGGAATGCAGGTATAACACAGAACTGATCTGTAGCTCTCCAAAGATGCTTTATTTCAGTAATTTCTGCAGGGAAATGTTTCTTTTATTTCAGATTGAAGCAAAAGGAACATTGAATGGGGAAAAGGTGGAACACCAGAGGACAACTTTTGTTAAACAGTTAAAGTTAGGGAAGGTGAGCCCACACCACGCACCTTGTTGGCTTTGCTTTTGAGGACTCCATGTGTTCCTCTCCTGAAATGGCTCGTTCTTTCTGGTTCCTCCCCCCACTCCTGCCCCCCACAGCTCCCACAGTGTCTGTGCATCCACCTCCAGCGACTGAGCTGGTCCAGCCATGGCACACCTCTGAAGCGCCACGAGCATGTGCAGTTCAATGAATTCCTGATGATGGACATCTACAAGTACCACCTCCTTGGACATAAACCCAGTCAGCGCAGCCCTAAACTAAATGAGAACCCAGGGCCTGCACTGGAACTGCAGGATGGGCCGGCAGCCCCCAAATCAGGTGTGTGTCTGAGGACACATCTGGGATTTTTGGCACAGAGAAAAGCAATTTGGTATCACCACTTTCTGGATTCCTTATGACACGAGTGCAAGCCTTGTATAGTGGTTGCATAAATTCCTGAGAAGGGCAGGGTTGGAGGTAGAAAAGGGAAGATTTCTTAAAAGAAATTAAAGTTATATCGTAATGAGATGTATAGTTTTTAAAACTATTTTACAGATGAGAAAGTATTGAGAAGAAAGCTTAAGATTGCAGTTTTGCTTTCTGATCTTTTGACTAAGTGATAACTGGCTCACATCATTCCGGTGAATTTTCTTTCTTTCTTTTATATTCTCCCAATTCAGTCATCTCATTTATAAAGGAAATGTGGGAAAGAAATGTTTTGGCTAAAGATCAGTGAATATCTTATTTGGGTTGATATGACTGTTTTACTGAATTATTTATTTATCTGATCCCATTACTATGCTCACCTGAGGAGTCATTAAATTGGGTCTCAGTTAAGCAAGGGTAGCTATTATTTCCCTCAGTCTTACTAATGACAAAATTGAGGCTCCATGAGGTTAAATGATTGATCCAAGGGCAAACAGCAAATGGGAGAACTGGCAATAGAATGTAGTGTTGGGGCAGTTTTCTAAAGGTCTCTCATGTGACATGTTGAGTTTTTTAGAGTTATAGATGAGGAAACCTCACTGACTTTAAGGGCTCACAACCTGAACTCAACACCTGTGTGCTGCCCCCAAGTAAGTCAGGATTGTCTTCCTGCACCTCCATACTGTCCTGACTTAGTATCCCTTGTTCCTTTGTTCTTTGTGACAACAATTGCATAGCCTGGCAAGACGTATTTCAGGGAGACTACGTTTTGTTCTTTCTCACCAGGTCACTAGATTAACATCAGGAACAGCCGAGGTAGGGAAAAGGCTCAGTCCTTGGCCCTTGTTCTAAAAAACTAGGACCTCTTCGCCCTAGCTTCCTCTTCTCCTGCGCTGTGGTGCATGTCTGCTAATGTTCAGACCATGGTGGCTGTGATTAAAGATGCCAGCAGTGAACTACTTGGTACATAAAGGCCCCCAAATATGACACTTGAAAGGAGAAGAGATGTAAATATTACATTAATTATTTTATCTATACCCATAAACATTTATTAATACCGTTACATGTTGGTATTCCTTAGAAGCTGGCAGAATTAAAAAAGGAGAGAATATTTAGATCAGTGGTTCTCAACACAGAGCAGTTTTGTCCCCAAGGGGACGTTGGGCAATGACTGGTGACATTTTTGGTTGTCACAACTCAAGGAGGGGTGCTACTGGCATCTAGTGGGTAGAGACCAGGGATGCTGCTAAACATCCTGTAATGCATAGAACATATCCCCATAACAAAGAATTATCCAGCCCAAAATGTTAATAGTGCCAGCACTGGGAAACTGTGGTTTAGGTTAAAAACCAGTAAATTAGCTACTGCCTAACTTTGATAAATGTTATTAGCAAACAGGGATAGGAATCTCAAAGATTCACAAAATTATCAAGGCTAGCAGTAGACCTAGAGCTAGATACATTTTTCCTATTTGGGATTAAAACAGTCAGGGACAAAAAGATACTCATTTTATGAATCAATACATGCAAAGTGAAATTTTGTTTTCTTTGTAGCATTATGGGGAATTCATTTTCAAGGTAATCAAAACCATGTTTTGCTTCCCCATTGCCACTACTAATTTTTCATTGACTCAGGACTTTTTCTCTTGCAGTTCTGAATCAGCCAGGGGCCCCCAAAACACAAATTTTTATGAATGGCACCTGCTCCCCATCTTTATTGCCATCCCTACCACCCCCAGTGCCCTTCCCTCTCCCAGTTGTTCCTGACTACAGGTGAGCTGCTCTTTAGAAGCGCATTCTTCATTCATTGTATGCTGCTACTTCTCTTGGTTTCTAAAATTAGCTTTTCACAGAAATGAATTAATGAAAATTTAGAGATTAATTTTTTTCATTTTAAGGTGGTATTTCACTATTACACATTCCCATTTATTTTTTTCCAAAATGGGAATCACTTTAAAAATAGTAATTATAAAGATACATAAAATTTATATATACACATCTGTGTGTGTTGTGTGTGTACAGTCATGCATTGCTTAACAACGGGGATACTTTCTGAGAAATGCTGTGTTAGGGAATTTAGCCATCATACTATCATCACAGAGTGTACTTACACAAACCTAGATAGTATAGCCTACTACACACCTAGGCCCTATAGGATAGCCTAAGGCTCCTAAGCTATAAACCTGTACATCATGTTACTGTACTGAGTACTGTAGGCAATTGTAACACAATGGTAAGTATTTGTACATCTAAACATAGAAAAGTTATGGTAAAAATACAGTATTATAATCTTACGGGACCACTGTTATGTAGTCCATCATTGACCAAAATATGGGTATGTGGTACATGACTGTATATATGTATGTATGTTTGCATAAATAAAATATAAGGAAGAAAATTTTAAATTTCTTAGTATACTACCTAGAGAAAACCAATTAAATCTTTAGGGTTATCCACTCTATAAAGTTGTGTGTGTGTGTACATATACACACACACACTATATATATACACACATATACTCATTTGATACAAACATCCATATATACACAATATACCTACAGAGTGGACATCTTGCCATGCCAGTAAATATAGATCTGTATTTTAATGGTTGTATAGTATTCAGTTATGGATGTATTATTGTATCTATCCCCTGTCATTTAACATCTAGAATTCTTTTATTTTTTTGTTCTTCCCTATAAACCCTTTTTTGTTATATTTGTAAACCACTGGCATTTGTTCCTACCATTCAGCTCCTCCACATACCTCTTTCGGCTGATGGCAGTTGTTGTCCACCATGGAGACATGCACTCTGGACACTTTGTCACTTACCGACGGTCCCCACCTTCAGCCAAGAACCCTCTCTCAACCAGCAACCAGTGGCTGTGGATTTCTGATGACACTGTACGCAAGGCCAGCCTGCAGGAAGTCCTGTCCTCCAGTGCTTACCTGCTGTTTTATGAGCGTGTCCTTTCCCAGGTGCAGCACCAGAGTCAGGAGTACAAGTCTGAAGAATGACTCTGCCCAGCCTCAGAGCTAGCTGAGGGTACTGTCCAAACTCCAGGAAAAAAGCAAAACCATACGCTGTGTGTGTGTGTGCCAGCACCCCACTAGAGCCCTTCAGCTTTCTGGTGTGTTCTAAGAGCAGGCTCCGCAAGGGAGCCAGTGGCCTCGATTCATACCAAATCAGGCTCCCTGAGCAGCTCTGCTAGTGAGCACTGGAAGGTGCCGTCGTGTTAGGAAAGCATTCATTATGTCTAGAGCGTCTTTTTACTCATCTGATACAGGTAATTAAAAGTAACCAAATTTCAGAAGCCACCTTTTTTATATGGTAATATGTTAGGTGTTCTGAGAAGGGAGTTACCTTTGTCTAATCCTCTTATGTTTCAGCATAGATCTTTTATTTTTAATAAGCAGGCCTATAAAAATTGTTGACAAGATTTAGTGAAAGTATTAAAGGCAACACTTCAGAAGAAAAAGTGCCTTTCACTTTCGATTGCTTTTGTAGCACATCCATTCTGAAAAATATACATTATCTAAGAGTCACATAAACAATTTTTGAAAAGCTCTATTCCTTCCAAGTTACTCAAAGGATGGCAAAAGAACAGTTAAAAGATGCCTAAAGAACACCTCCCTTCCCTTTTTGTATGCCTTTTTCTAATCTTTCAATTCTTTATATGTAGTAAAGGCTCATCTGCCAAATCTGCCCCTCCGGGAAATTCTTTCACTATGTCAGTTGTAAGTGAAATGCTTACTTGTTGCTTTTATCTTTTGTATACTGTATTGAGATATAGTATTGTATAAAACTATGTGAATAACCAGAATTGAGCAGTATCTGTGCAGCACCTATGATTCCTCTGCTCTCTAGGAAACTCAATTACACAAGGATCCACTGTGGACAGTTCTTTTGTGTTTATTTATTGCCCATGCAGAGCTCTTAAGGTTTACAGGTAGGAGCTTGGGGCTGTGTGAAAAGACAATCCCTGTCTTGATTTGAGAGCTGGATTAGGAAGGAAAGGCACTGACCACAGGGCTACAATCTCTCTTGACTTCAGTTTCCTCATTTGTAAAGTGAAGGGTTAGATTTGATGACTATGAAAGTCCAGCCCTTTCCATTAAAGGAAGAGAGCAGCTTTTTTTTAAAAACGTAAGTACAGCTGACATCTAGTACTGTCATTTTGTTATAGGCCTATATTCTAAAAGAGTATATTAAGCATTTTCTTCCGTTTTCAGATAAGTCTCATGAATGTAGCCCAGGGCTGAAGGAATTTTGATGACATAGTAGTCCCTATGTTTTAGCTACCTTTTTTTTTTTTTTTTTTGTCTTTTTCCGTGTCCGGCAACGGATCGCAACCCTCAGTGTCGCCCCCGCACCGGACCGGGACCGGCAACGGGATCGCAACCCTCGGTGCTGCCCCCGCGCCTCACTCAGCCAGTGAGCGGGAACCGGCCTGCACATGGGATCCGAACCCTCGGGCGGGAGCGCCGCCGCGCTTCCCAAGCGGCGCACTATCCAGTGCGCCACCGGGCCGGCCCATTAGCTAACTTTTTAATTAAAAAAAAAAAGATACCAAATTCAAACTGACTCTTCAAAGATTTGGAATCAGACCTATCCAAAAGTTCATGTGAAGTAAGTCTAAGAACTGTGTGTCCTCTGCTAGGGGTGAGCTGGCAGACACTTCTAGACAATGCCATAGTGTCAGCTAAAAGTGCAAGAAGCCCAGGTGCTCACCATTCCTCCGAGCCCAGTGTGCATTCTGAGGACTCAGTAAATCTCGCTACCAATAGAATGTGAAGGTTCTCCAGGCCCCAACATCAGTGTGAAAGCAGCTGGAACCATCTGATCCATTCATTGCTGACCTGCTGCAGACCTTGGCTTTGGTAATGAAGTGAACACACCATTTTACCAGAAATTGTGTGACCTTAAACTGCATTGCAGAGCTGTAGCTTTAAGTAATTGCTGTTCTGTCACGGCTTACTCTGAAATCTGCCGTTAAAGAGATGTACAAAAGGAGATAAGCTTTTGAACATTTGGTTGTAAGCAGATCTTTGATGAGAGGGCAGGATTTGAGCCAGGGTTGTAAATGTGAATGATATTTGTATAACGTCTCTTAACCTAACTTAAAGCTGACTTCCTCATTTTGTAAATTATCAGGCGCTAAATAGCAGCCAAATATTCTGATTTCTAGTTTTAAGTTATTTACAAAGTAGCTGCTTTTCAGAAAAACATAAGTTAAGCTAGTGGTTTATGCCATAACTACCAATTTATGTATCTGCTAAAGGTACTTTTGTATGTGTTGTGTATTATAGCAATAAAAGATTCATTTTGTTAGGGAAAAAAATCAACTGTATTCTTTGATACAAACATCCTTTTTCTTTTTTTTTTTTGTTGTTGTTAAAATAAGGCATACTTTTATTGTATTCAAAAACATATTATTGGGATAAAACTATGTAAATCAAAAAGGCTAAATTCACAATTTAAAAACAAAAAAATTATGTATTAAGCATATACTTTGGGCAAAGGCAGTCTTCAGAACATAGGAATGATCTTGATGTATTTATGATCATCATAAATTTCATAATGTAGTGGGAGACATGAGATAAGATGATAAAAACTATAATACAAGACAAAGAGGTAAATGTTTTATCCAAAATTTAAGTATGGGAGGGGCTGAAGAAGAGGCGAAAATCCAAATTTGATAAGGTTATTTTTATTTACATTTTACCAGTTTTATTAAGTTTATTTGACATGAGTCTAATTTGCAAAGAGCCAGCCTCAGTTTTTGAGAGTTAGAGTAAAAGAGGAATATAATCAATACTGTGAGTGCTCACTTTGTCTCAGGCACAACATCAAACAGGCTCATAATTATTATGCTATTCAATTATTGTAATGACCCTTTCAAGAAGTTATTACTAGCTGCACTTCACTGGTGAGGAAACAGATTCACAGTTATCAAGTAGTTGGTCCATGCAAACATCCTTTTTCTGAATTCTACATTGTTATGTAACAATCCCTACAGTTTGGCTTGGTTAAACCTTTTCTATGTTCCCTGTTGATCAAGAAAACGCCAACTCCCTCTCAGAATAGAGAGGGAAAGAGAAAATAGAAGTACTAACTGTTAAAAACATTTTATTTTTTAGTAGGCAAAATTTTCCGAAATGTCAAATTGACACGTGGAGTAAGAATCTTCTTTCGGATGGGAAGACTGTGATACCAATGAACGTTGGTTGGGTGGTTCATCATCAGTAAACTCCCATGTGCCAGCTGGAGCCTGACCACCTCCAACCTCCGAGAGGGGTTCTTCCCTCGAGAATCCTTATGCCGGAAGAAGAAGTCCCTGCAGGCACCGAAGGAGACAGAGGCGATGGGGCTTCCAGGGGCTAGCTCTCTTTCATCATCTCGGTGCTCCCCGATGTGGTCGCAGCCATCTTTATACCTGCAATGAGAAAACAAGCAGAGCTCATAAAAACAACCCTTTCCTGGAACTTGCCAACACCGCAAACTCCTTGTTTTCTTGTGGTCCCTGCTGTTTTCTGCAAGGGTTTGAGGGCTTTATCTGGTTCCACACATGAGCCAACCCTGAAGCATCTTCACTTTGTTATTTAGTCCTATTTGACCACATTCTTGAAAAACTTAACACAAAGAAACCAAAATCATGTCTTACAGCTCCCCTGCTTCATATATGTAAACCTTTATCACACAAAATGATTTCTCCCTACACTTAGAAGAAAGTCCATATTTCCTGCAGTCTGGCCCGTGCCCACCTCTGACTTCTTCCCATCCCCCTCATCTGCTGCTTTACAGCTGCACCAGTGAGATTTCTGCTCCATAGACACTCCAGGTTCACTCTGCTTTTCCTCCAGACGTCTCTGGCTCTTGCTGTCCACTTAGTTATCAGCTTAAACATCACTGCCCAGTGAGCCCTCCTCTATCTCATCTAAAGTGACTGCCCCCTAAACCCAGGGGTCTCAACCAGGACGATTCTGCCCCAAGGGGACCCCGAGCAATGTTTGGAGACATTTTTGGGTGCTATAATGCAGGGCATGCTACTGGCAGTGTATGTGGGTGGAGGCCAGAGATGTGCTCAAATCCTTCAACGCACAGGTCAGTCTCCCAAAGCAAAGAATTATCCAGCCCAAAATGTCAGTAGTGCTGCCGCTGAGAAACCCTGTCCTAAACCCAAACACCTTCCTCTCAGTCAAATCAGCCTGTTTAATTTTCTTCAAGCCATTTATCACTGTTCATGATTTATGAGTTCATCATTGTTACCACTGTTCATGAGTTAATCACCTCTCACTTCCTACATGAGCTCCAGACTGACTGCTCGTGCTGTGCCACTACTATATTCCTTGTGTACTACAGAATGATTTGTTTTACAAATGAACAACATATGGTGGAATCCTAAACTCTTCCTTTTGGAGGAGACAGATTTATAAAATGTAGTCCACTAAACAGGTAGGGTGTCACCTGTTGACGAGCACGAAATTGAAGGTCTGTCCAGTCACCCCAGAGACATGATTCCGGACATGCTCTAGAACTGGGATCCATGGCTTTGGAGACAATGTAAGGCCTGAAAACGTGTAGGTCAGCCCAGCGTCACCGTACGTCGCCTGCTTCCTTGGCACACTGTGCCACTTCCCGAACACCTGGATCCTGGTCAGTGCACCTGTGCAGATGAAACATGGCAGTTCTGTCCCTCCTGGGATCCCCAGAAATCCAGGCAGGTGAGTGCCCAGCATACTCACTTGCTGAGTGTTCAGGATTGAAAAGGAAGTAAAACAGGAATAACATTGCTCTCTGTCGTTCAGTGTAATTTAATGCCCTGCCAAGGACCCTCTCCTCAAAAATCATTGTGGCTTGCCCACAATTTTAATGTAAGGACAGTGACTTTGCCCTACACTTAGAGAAATGCGGTCCTAGGCCAGTTGTTTTTAAACACTGTAACTTAATTACGTTAACTACAGCAGAAGCGGAATAAAGAGGCTGAAATTTGAGCACCATGAAGTTGAGTTTACACGCAAGGATGCTTTTGTCAACTGTAGGGACTAAGGGCCTGTGGCTCCATAAAAGATGGAACTCACATAGCTCAGGTTGTAGCCTGGGGTCTTGCAGGCTTTTCACTGCCTCCCTCAAACTGCTCTGCCAGCTCCCCATGTGCTCATCAGCGGGTACAGCAGCACTTCTCAGTGTGTGGTCTCCAGGGCAGCAGCAGCACCACCACCTGGGAACTCCTTAGAAACTAGACTGCAAGGCTGGGGCCCAGCAATCCCAGTTTGTACAAGCTACAGGTCCTCCAGGTGATGCTGAGACGCATTGGTGTAGAGGAATTACCTGGTTTTTGGTTTTTTGTGTGTGTGGTGGCTGGCCAGTAGGGGGATCTGAACCCCGACCTTGGTGTTATAAGGCTGCACTCTAACCGAGCTAACCTCCAGCCCCTGGAATTACCTGGTTATTTGCCGTCTCTTCTACTAGACCTACTAGTGATTCTCAACCCTGGCTGCACATCAGAATCACCTGGAAACTTTCTAAAAACACTGATGCCAAGGCTGCACTCCCAGCTGTTTTAATTCAACTGGTCTCGAATAGAACCCAGTATCTTTAAAAAAAAAAAAAAAAAAAACTTTCCCAAGTGATTCTAATCAGTAGCTAGGGGGAGCTTCGCTCTAGTTATCTGTCAGCTCCCAGCAGACACGCACCCGTTTTTTTCAGGTTTGTATCCCAAACACCTAACAACGTGCCTGGTCCAGAGGTGTCCAGAGAATATATATATATTTTTTTGTCTTTTGTCTTTTTCCGTGTCCGGCAACGGATCGCAACCCTTAGTGTTGCCCCCGTACCGGACCGGGGACCAGCAACGGGATTGCAACCCTCGGTGTTGCTCCCGCACCTCGCTCAGCCAGTGAGCGGGAACCGGTCTGTATGTGGGATCCGAACCCTCGGGCGGGAGTGCCGCTGCGCTTCCCAAGCGGCGCACTATCCAGTGCGCCACCGGGCCAGCCCCCCAGAGAATATTTTTTAATCTACTGGCAAACATATCAGTCACTAATGGTTCCTGAGTTCAGATTTCTCTAAACACAGATGATTAGTTTTATCAGATAAGCCTTCAACACACACATAGTCCTCTGTTTACCTGTAAAATATTCCACTTCTTTCTCCAGCTCTTGGAAAATCTTGTCCGCCTCCGCTTTGCCAAAGAGGACCGTGTAATCGCAATCCAGGCCCTCGGCCTGAAGGTGCCTCCAGCTGGGGCCTGCCGAGTGGACCCAATTCCCTGGGATCTCTCTCCTGGGCCTCTTCCTTGGGCTTTCTTTGTCTCCTCCCAACAGAGTTAGCTCTTTTCCACTCTGCTCTTGCTCCTCCCCCTTTCTCCAAGTGCCCCCTTGAACCCCCTTCACCAGAAATCTGTCCATCCTGTCTCCCCACAGGAAACAAGTGGATGTTGGTGATGAGGCAAAGAGAAAGGAAGAGACTGCCCAGGCTCTGTCCTTGATACAAAAATCTGCTCATCCAAGGGGTCCCACAGCAACATTCCTATTTAAGTTTCCATTTTAAAGTTTAAAACCATGTCCTGGAAAGGAAGAAGAGGATTTTCAAGCTGTAAGGGCCCCTAGGGACGATCTGGCCCTGGGTCTCCCTCACCCAGAATCAGCTGGCTAGCTTGCAAAAACCCAGATGGACTGCATTCCACCTCCAAGCACCAGCATTTTAAAATAAATTCCTCCTGGGCATTCGCATGCCAGAGCCAAATTCGGAAACTACAATCCAAACCCTCATGTTACAGATGGAGAAACTGACTCCCGGAGAGGGGAAAGGGATTGCCCAATCACCCAGAAAAGCCGGGTCTCCATCTCCTGTCCACCCCGCTAAGGGACTGCAATTGTTAACTGCCCTCCCGGCTCCCGCTCCTGCGCAGCTCTGAATCCTGCAAACACCCTAGAGGGGCCCTGTCCGGCGGGAAAGCACTCACCCGGCCCGCAGCTCGCACGCGCTCCCACTTCCGGGGCAAGCTGGGAAACCCCGGCAAGTGCCAAACAAGCCGCCGGGCGGCCTCCTAGCGCCACCTGTTGGCTGTTTTGGTGCGTTGCAAGCATTGCCGTGTTTTCGGCTTAACATTTGTTCTGGAGTTGGTGAGGATCACTTAACCTCTCCGGGCTTGAATCCCTCATCTGCAAGCGGAGGAGGACAGCACCTATGTCATGAGAGCGCTATGAGGACTAAATGAGAAGGTGTGCGAAAACTGCTTCTGTGGTGCAAATAAGTGTTAGGTTTTATTACTGCTCCCACTGTTTATTTACTGTCTCCCCTCAATGGAATGAAAGCTTCATGAGATTGGGGCCTTTTCGGTTTGATGTTTTGAGGTTTTTTTCGCACTTGGCCAGTGTGGGAATCTGAGCCCTGGGACCTTTGTTTTTGAAGCTGCTTCATGAGTTTCTGGGAATTTTGACAAACGTACAATGTTGTATGTATGACCACCACCACAATCAAGATCTAGAACAGTTTCATCACCCCATAAAACTCCCCCAGCCTCTTAGTTCTATAAACTTGCCCCTCTCACCCAGCCTCTGGCAACCACTGATCTGTCTTGTCCCTATAGTTTTGCCTTTTCCAGAATTCATATAAATGGAATCATACATTCTCTAGCCTTTTCCATCTGACTTCTTTCACTTAAGCATACTGCTCTTCATATTTATCCATGTTGTGTGTTATCAATCGTTTGTTCTTTTTTTTTTTTTTTTTCCTTTTTGTCTTTTTTCATGACCGGCAACGGATTGCAACCCTCAGTGTCGCGCCCGTACCGGACCGGGACCGGCAACGGGATCGCAACCCTCGG